ATATATATACACATATATACTGTATATACACTATATTGCCAAAAGTATTGGGACGCCTGCCTTTACACTCACATAAACTTTAATGGCATCCAGTCTTAATCCGTAGGGTTAAATATGAAGTTGGCCCACCCTTTGCCGCTATAACAGCTTCAACTCTTCTGGGAAGGTGTCCACAAGGTTTAGGAGTGTGTCTATGGGAATGTTTGACCATTCTTCCAGAAGCGCATTTGCGAGGTCAGGTACTGATGTTGGACGAGAAGGCCTGGCTCGCAGTCAGCACTCTAATTCATCCCAAAGGTGTTCTATCAGTTTGAGGTCAGGACTCTGTGCAGGCCAGTCAAGTTCCTCCACTCCAAAATCACTTATCCATGTATTTATGGACCTTGCTTTGTGCACTGGAGCATAGTCATGTTTGAACAGGAGGGGGCCATCCCCAAACAAGCATGAAATTGTCCAAAATGTCTTGGTATGCTGATGCCTTAAGAGTTCCCTTCACTGAAACTAAGGGGCCAAGCCCAACCCCTAAACAACAAACACACACCATAATCCCCCCTCCTCCAAACTTTACACTTGGCACAATGCAGCCAGGCAAGTACCATTCTCCTGGCAACCGCCAAATCAAGACACGTCCATCGGATTGCCAGACAGAGAAGCGTGATTCGTCACTCCAGAGAACATGTCTCCACTTCTCTAGAGTCCAGTGGCGGCGTGCTTTACACCACTGCATCCAAAGCTTTGCATTGCACTTGATGATGAAAGGCTTGGATGCAGCTGCTCGGCCATGGCCCAATTCCTTGAAGCTCTCTACGCATTGTTGTTGTGCCAATCTGAAGGCCACACGAAGTTTAGAGGTCTGTAGCTATTGACTCTGCAGACAGTTGGCAACTTCTGCGTACTGTGCACTTCAGCATGCACTGACCTCGCTCTGTCATTTTATTATATATATATATATATATATGTATATGTATTTTTTAATCTGCACTTAAAAGTTTTTTTTTTGCTTCACCCTTCGTTAGGACGAGGAGAGAAACTGTACAATACAGTTTCAAGCGTCCCTGCATTTTCTCAAGTTCAATGTATTCAGAATTAATTTCACTTCCCTCAAGAGGAAATACATCATCATTACTAGGGATGTCCCTATGTTTCCGATGCTAGCATCGGTATCGGGACATCCCTAATATTTACCATATACAATCAACGCATTATAGCTCATTCAAAGTTTTACAAGTAGTCTGATAAAATTTTCTCCAACATTATTATCACAGTTCAAACATCTAAAAAATTTAGCAAAATCACACTGAATCACTCAAACTCAGATCTCAGATCACATGCAGTGACCCGCTGAATTTAAGCATGTTACATAAAAAGATACAAATCATAATCTTTGTTAAAACCATATGGATTAAGGGAAGAAAGCCTATTAATCCACCAAACTTCTTTTCTTTTTAAATTTCAAAATTCTATCTCCTCTTCTCCTACACCTAGGAATCTCTTCCAAAATCATGAACTGTAGCTTACTGTCAGAGTGACCTTCTTGAGAAAAATGCTTAGCCACTGGCAATCCTGGTTTTGTCAGATTAAGCACCGATGTATCTTTTTTATAATACCTAAAGGATAAACAACATTTTTAGGATCTCAGTCATACATAGATTGTGCAATTATGGAATGGTGATTCAGTGCGAGTTTGCTACATTCTTTTTTTTTTTTAGAAAATAATTTATTGTTTTACACATTGAAACACAACAATGCAAGCTATTTGTGTCCAGAGAGGGCACCAGGCATAGTTATGCATACAATGTTAAATTATACAGCTAAACTTAAGGTCTAAATAGAAAAATAACAATAGTTACTACAGGACAGAAGGGGTTACCCCTCTCGGGAAACTTCCCAAAGTACAGGTGGGGGAAAAACAGTTCCCTGCATAGCTCACTTGGCCAAAACTAGCTGCTCTCGTGCTTAGTCGCTAGGGGCTTGGTCACATCCTACTTATTATAAAAAGACGTCTCTTTCAGTGTGGCCTAAGGCCTCTCCGGGCCTGATTGGATGACACTGGCTCCAGTTTTATCCTAGGTCCCCCAGAGGGGCAGTATGTCGCACTCAGACTGCTGCACAGTCTACCGCTGAGTTTGTGCACTCCAACCAGCTATCCCAAACTTTATGAAATTTGTTAGGGCATCCCCTGTGGGCATATGTGTCCTGATATAGAGGCAGATTATCATTCACCAGCTTCTTCCAGAAGGACAATTCTGACAGGGCCGGCTTCTTCCAGTTCATGGCAATAGCCTTGCGGGCATAAAACAAGGTCAAACCTATCAGCGTGCATTCAGACCTGGTCCGAGCTACGTCCTCCACCAGGCCCAGAAGACACACCCTTGGTGACAGTGTCAGTGGCAAAGAGGTGACCCCCAGATATAAAGTGCACTATAGAGCCCCAGTAGGAGGAAATGAGGGGACATTCCCAAAAAAACATGGAAGAAGTCCCCCTCCTGACATGTGCATCTCCAGCAGGATGGAGAGATGGCTGGATTAATTTTATGTAGACGGTGAGGAGTGAAATAGGCTCTATGAAGAAATTTAAATTGTACCATTCTATCCCTTATTGCGACCAATTGTTTAAACAGTCCATCCCAGATCACCTCCCAGTCCTCCTCATCCAGACTGGGGATGTCCACCCTCCACTTGGATTGTAATGCTGATTGGTTGGAGGAAGTCAGGGTCTGCAGAGTGCTGTAGAAACAAGAGGTGGGTTTCACCAGTCCCTCCGTCCTTGCAAGGGATTCCATGGGGGTCTTGCCTAAGCTGATCCTACCTCCCGGAAACTGAGTGCCGAAGGCGTGGGAGAGCTGTAAGTAGCGGAAACCGAATTTGGGTGGGATGGGGCGGTGACTGGCTAGATCGGCGAATGACATCAGGGAGTTGGCCTCTACTATATCAGATATTAATTTAATGTTATGCTTTGCCCAGAAAGAGGGGTCAGGAATTGTGTAGAAGTGGGGCAGTTTGGGGTTATTCCACAAAGGAGTTTCTGGGAAGATGTCTAGGGCAGCTCTGGAGCACCAGGCCAACCCCGTGCGCCAGACCCTGATAGTAGTGCGCATAGAAGGGCTGAGAGGGTAGGGGGCTCTCAGTCCTCTATATAATAGGCCAGTCAGTGCCTCCACTGAGTTCAAGATGGCCACCTTCAACATGACCGAGGAGATGTTGACATCAGCCGAGAGCCACCAGTTGGCTGTGACCAGTTAGGTAGCCAGGAAGTATTTATGAAAGTCTGGGAGTGCTAAGCCTCCCTGGTTATTGGGGTGCATGAGGGTCGTGAGTTTATATCTCGGGGGCTGAGTCCCCCACGGGAAGGAGGAGACTATTTGATTAATTTGATGAAAATAGGGTTTAGTTATCCATACCGGAGAGTTACGAAAGATGTATGTGAATTTGGGCAATATCTTCATTTTAACTAGGTTAATCCTCCCCAAGAGGGACAAAGGTAAGTTCGCCCACGCCTTCAGTCTCTGCCTCATATCATCTAGGATCGAGAGTATATTAAGTTTGATAAAATCCTGAGGCGAGCCAGATATCACCACCCCCAGGTACCTGAACAAGTCCACCCAGGAGAGTTGAGTGACCGTTCTGGGTACAGACCTGGCCTCCGCATCAATAGGGAACAGTATTGACTTGTGCCAGTTGACCCTGAGACCCGATACCCTCGAGAATGCAGTGAGGACATCTAAGGCTCCATGAGGGTCCCGGATCATTGAGGAACAAAAGCAGGTCGTCCACGTACAGCGTGGACCCTCTCCTCCAACCAGCCGACTCTAAGACCCTTAATATGGGGGGATGTCCTCAGAGCTTGGGCTATGGGTTCCATGGCCAAGGCAAAGAGCGTGGGCGACAACGGACACCCTTGCCTAGTTCCCCTGCAGATAGGGAAGGGAGCTGACAGCTTATTCCCAAGTTTGATAGAGGCCATAGGACTATGATACAGTAGTTTAATCCAGCGAGTAAATTCCAAGGGAAATCCCATTTTGTTCAGTGTGGCCCACAGGTAGGTCCATTCCACTGTATCAAAGGCCTTTTCTATATCAAGGGACACCACCACCCTGGTTCCGCTGTTGTCATGGGATGCATGCAAATTCATAAAGCCCGTTTGGTCCAAGTCAATCAGGCTATCCGTCAGTTGGTTAAGTCGCACACTAAGGAGTTTGGTCAAAATTTTTTAATCACAATTTAGCAGGGCAATGGGCCTGTAGGAGGCACAATCAGTCGGGTCTCTAGGTGGCTTGTGGATTAAGATAATGGGCTCCAGTCATAGAGGGCAGTAGACAGTCTGCCTCCAGACATGAGACATACATCTCACATAGTCTAGGGACCAGGAGGTCTGCATGTGTTTTGTAAAATTCCATTAGGAATACCCTCTGGGCCTGGTGTTTTCCCGTTAGGGAATGAAGTATGGCTGCGAGCACCTCAACTTCAGTGATGGGTTTCGCCAGAAAGCTTCTCTGCCCATCTGTCAACCAGCCCAGGGCTACCGAGTCCAGTAGAGATCGCAAGTCCGGGGACTGGGCCTCCACCGTCAGTGTGGATGAGTAAAGGGTGGTGTAATACTTCCGGAATACCTCCAGGATGGCATTGCCAGCAGACGCCCATTCTTATCCCCAGTTTCAAAAAAAATTTGTTTGGGGTTATGTAGGTCAGTGCGTGTTAGGTCCGCAAGGCGCAGGCTGAGCGTGCGTCTTGCTGACATAAGAGCATCAAAATTGTCAGGAGTGGGGGACAGCCCATATCTAGAGAGGCAATCCGCTTCTGTAGCGTAGAGTTCATCCGTGCGAGCTGAGTCCACCTTTTTTATTGCCTTCTGGAGGGACATGTGGTCACCTCTCACACATGCCTTGAATGCATCCCACACAACCGCAGGCCCCGCAGTGGAGGTGTTTTAGTTCCCAATATTGCGCAACAGAGGGAGGGATAGCCTCCAGAGCCATAGGGTGGGAGATTCAGTGTGGAACATTATTCATTAACAGGCGATGTGAGCTGTGAAAGACAATAGCAAGAGCATTCATACTTAAAGAAGAACTATGAGGTGAGTGCTTTTCACTCACCTCATAGTTCTAGCCGACCTGTGACAATGAGACTGTCACAGGTCGGCTCAGTAGATCGAGAGGTGAGCGAACACATACCGGGTTCGCTCACCTCTCGATCCTGTCACGACTCTCTGCCGTGACAGGGGAGGGGCTGGATTTCTCCCCTCCCCGCTCAGATCCGCCAGCCCTGACTGGCGGATCGGACGGGGGAGGGGGCGGGTACAGCTGGCTCTGCCTCTAGATAGTGCTAATTAAACTGAGTGAGCCAAGTGTTGACCGTCAAGTGTTGTCCAGCCAGGCTGCAGCCGCCGCAGGGGTATCAAAGAAGCGGGTGGTGGCGCCATCACTCACCCGCAGGCGACTGGGATATAGGAGGCCATATTGCAAACCTATCTCCCGGAGCCTCTTACGAACTTCTGTATAGGATCTGCGCCGTTGCTGTATTTCCACCGAATAATCAGGATACAAGGAGACAAGATGGCCGCCTCCGAGACACCACAAGGCCTGCCTCCTGAGGAACGAGTCGATCTGCTCTTACTGCGCCTTATACAGCCTAGTTTTGTGGAAGTGATCCAAGTCAGGAGGTGTTCCGGCTCACCTGAACCCAGGTAGGTCTCGGAAAATCAACACCAGGATAGTAGCAGGATATTATGTGGTGCGGAGCTATGTATTTCCTCATGGGGGAAGTTAAATGTGATCAATAGGACTATTTGTGCACACACCGAACTTAGGAAAGAGTGAGGGTGCTCTAAACTGTTGTCCTGTATTGTGCAGCTTTTCTTGTTCCACCAAATAAAGAAGCAGCAATAAAAATTTTATTGCAGATTTAAGAAAGTGTATGGCATCCCACTTTGCAACTTATTCAGATATTGCAGTCAGATTAGAGCCCACTTGGTGCATACACAGATCAGTATATGTTCGGATCGGACGGGGGAGGGGGCGGGTACAGCTGGCTCTGCCTCTAGATAGTGCTAATTAAACTGAGTGAGCCAAGTGTTGACCGTCAAGTGTTGTCCAGCCAGGCTGCAGCCGCCGCAGGGGTATCAAAGAAGCGGGTGGTGGCGCCATCACTCACCCGCAGGCGACTGGGATATAGGAGGCCATATTGCAAACCTATCTCCCGGAGCCTCTTACGAACTTCTGTATAGGATCTGCGCCGTTGCTGTATTTCCACCGAATAATCAGGATACAAGGAGACAAGATGGCCGCCTCCGAGACACCACAAGGCCTGCCTCCTGAGGAACGAGTCGATCTGCTCTTACTGCGCCTTATACAGCCTAGTTTTGTGGAAGTGATCCAAGTCAGGAGGTGTTCCGGCTCACCTGAACCCAGGTAGGTCTCGGAAAATCAACACCAGGATAGTAGCAGGATATTATGTGGTGCGGAGCTATGTATTTCCTCATGGGGGAAGTTAAATGTGATCAATAGGACTATTTGTGCACACACCGAACTTAGGAAAGAGTGAGGGTGCTCTAAACTGTTGTCCTGTATTGTGCAGCTTTTCTTGTTCCACCAAATAAAGAAGCAGCAATAAAAATTTTATTGCAGATTTAAGAAAGTGTATGGCATCCCACTTTGCAACTTATTCAGATATTGCAGTCAGATTAGAGCCCACTTGGTGCATACACAGATCAGTATATGTTGACAGCAGTACATGCTGAAATCATAACGGTGCAAATGTGTATATACAGTATATATATATATATATATATATATTGTATTATACCTGTTAGTGACCTAATCAGTTAACGGATAGAATTTTCAATTTGCTAACTTATAATAATATGCATATTAATAATTTGAGATGATTGTATTTTTTTAAATTATTGACTTGTGAGGTTTTAATGTCTACCAAAACTCAACAAATATTTTCCAATGACTATAATGAGATTCTCTTTTTCCTTATGTTTCCCTATATATTTTCTTTACACAGGGGAGCTGCTGGATGGCCAGAGAGGGCTTGTACCTTCAAATTTTGTGGATTTTGTGCAAAACGATGAGTTTCATGTGCCGAGCACTTTGACCAGTGAACAGGAAGAGAATTTTCTCAATCACTCAGCCCCTCTTCTTCATGGGGAACACAAACTGGAGATCACACCGCCCATTCACATAGAGTCCAGTGTGCTGAACAATGGCACAGGGACCATGGATGTGAACATTGATGAGATTGGAGAAGACATTGTGCCTTATCCTCGAAAAATAACCCTTATCAAACAACTCGCCAAAAGTGTTATTGTGGGTTGGGAGCCACCACTAGTGCCACCGGGCTGGGGTCCCATCCACAGTTATAATGTCTTGGTGGGAAAAGAAGTCCGTGCATCTTTGAATTTTGGGAGTAGAACCAAAAGTCTTATTGAGAAACTAGATCTCGCCACAGTTACCTATCGCATATCGATCCAGACAGTCACGGATCGAGGCAACTCAGATGAACTGCAGTGCACATTGTTAGTTGGGAAGGATGTAATTGTAGCACCTTCTTATCTCAAAGTAGACAACATCACTCCAATGTCTGCTGAACTCAGCTGGCTCCCAAGCAACAGCAATTATAGCCATGTCATTTTCCTAAATGATGAGGAATTTGACATTGTTAAGGCTGCAAGTTATAAGTATAATTTTATGAACTTAAAGTCCAATGCAACATACAAAGTAAAACTTCTGGCAAAGCCTCACCAGATGCCATGGCAGCTCCCTCTGGAACAGAGGGAACGAAAGGAAGCATATGCAGAATTTACTACTCATCCTTTAGGTGAGTGGCACTTGCATCATTCAATACATGTGTAAAGACAGATAAATAGAAAACGGATATGATTATTTGTTTTTCTTTTTTTATATAACTCGGGATTGGAGTGCATTAGCATTTTTTTTAAATCTGTAGCCACCTATTAACAGATGGCAGCATTTTGTCCAATTTTTGCAATTAGTAAACGCTTTATATGTAAAAGAACTTGCAGATTTGTGCCATTTGTGCCGCTGATGGGGGGTTATTCACTAAAGGCTGAAGAGTTTGAAGAAGGCAGGAGAAGTGAACTATCTAGGCCAATATAGCTGATTTGGAAACATTCTCCAATTCAGCTCACTTTGCAGTTCAGTTATGTTGTCCTAGATTGTTCACTTCTCCTGCCTTCTCCAAACTCTTCACCCTTTTGTGAATAACCCCTATGGAATCAACAGTGGCATAACTATAGCCATAGCAGCTCACACAACTGCTATGGGCCCTGAGGTTGAGAAGGGGGCCCGATTACAGATGCTGATGTCTCCATCCCAGAAATGCTGATGTCAGATGCACAAGATCATGCTTTGGGATCATGCTGTTGCTGGTCACAGATCTCTTTTGCATCCCTCTATCTGTGAATTGATTTATTGACTTCAAAGCTGATTGTTAACCTGGCTTTTCATTTTTTTGTTGGGGGGTAAGAGGTAATAATGTATCTCTGTCTCTGGGAGGGGGCTGATATCTGGTTGCTCCCTTATAAAAATGGGGCTTCCACCATAAGGGGGAGCAGCTTACTTTATCACTTTAGTGACAATACTTTGCCAAATTATAGATAGCTGTATGTAATCATGCAGACCCCTGTGTGGTTTTGAAACATTGTGATCGGTTTTTAATATGAGAGAATAGTTACATTTATTAATACTGTCCTTTGTGTAAAGACAACCGGGGGTATTTTTATATTATATTATTTAGTTACTAGGGATTTATAAAGTCTATAGTAAATTAAATTTGTGTTTATTCCTCCTTCTTCCATTTATAAAAGAGGATGGAATGAATAGAGCTGACAGCCAAGCAATGGTTAATGTAGAACACGCTGCTTCCACTTATGTTTAAAACTTAGAATGGCTAAAATGATCGACTTATTTACTGGCACATACGTTTGCCTGGTTGCCAAAATACAACCTAGAATTGTGTCTACATCTATTTGTTCCAAATAGCTGTGTTCCTTTTTCAGCCACACACATACAGCTCCATGGCTTCAACTTGATAATACTTAGATGCTCTTACCATAGTTACTTGTTTATGGCATTGGTTACTATTGTTTTTCCAATATCCATCTTCTTTTGTCATCTTTAAAGCTAAATAAAAGTCAGTACTAATACTTTGCAGTAAAAGTGCTGGGTTGTATCGCTACCCTGTGCATGGGACTTTGCTTATCTGTGTTAATGTCTAGACTCATCCCAAACTCTGATTCATATGGCAAGGATAGCTCATGACAGTTCCAAGTCTCAGTCTGATTAATTGGCACAGTTAGTCACCGTAATTGATTCTTTTCTTGCACTTTTTTTAATTTATTTTATATTACAATAAATCATTTTCTGGGAACATCTTAGCTTTGATTAACTAAATACTAGCACAATCAAACGTAACTATATAATCTATTAGCTGGACGAATATAGAATAGTTGGGCAATTTGCCACCAGCATGCAGGAAAATGTTATGTATTAGATTGCTGACAAATTTTATTATTAGGTTTTGTATTTGGAAACATCTGCACTGTGTCTTAATTGTAGAGCAAAGATCCTGAATTATATGACTTGCATTAGGTTATTAGGCATCCATATAAACTGGTATAAACCAGTTATCAGAGGCAACACGCTAATTGTTTGTGTAAAGAATATATATTAAAGGGTCCTTTAATCCAAAACCCATAGTTCTCATTTTAAGTATTAGATATTATGTATATTTTGTTAGATGCTAGGGAGATGAATTACCTTTACACCTAATTATTTCTCTGGAACTCTGTTGGTAATTTCTATGTGGTAAAGCTAAACTCCGTGTCATTTATTTTCCATACAGACAGAAGCAGCACTTGAATCTGCCTTTATGTGAGTCTCCTGTAAACTTTTGCACAGTAGCACCCAGAATGGTAGATGGAGGGGAAACATTGTAACCCTAATCTGACTGTATAACATTGCAGAGTTCTGTCCAGCTAACATTTTGGTTTTCCTGGTAGAAATAGAGAGAAAAATGAATTTTATTATTAAGCTGCTATTCCTTCTTTGTTCAGTCCCAGTCTGGTGGGTGGTTTCTAGACCTCACTGCTCAGCTCAACAACAGTACAGTCTGCAGAGAACTTTAATACCCCCAAATAACAAGACTGGTTGAACAGAATTACAATTGGTGGACATGACAGTTCATAAATGTCTATTTTAGCTATGTGGTTAGCTGTTTGCTTGGAGTTTAGTTGTAATTGTCAAACAGGGATATCTTTCCTCAGAAATATCTGAGGTCATTGTCTACCAAGATAGCAAGGATAACTTGCCACAAACTTGTGGCAGGGGTAAACTGCAATTCTTGTTAACTTGCTGCACACATTCCTGGCATGTTATAGACTTGCAGAGCACTTGCAGCACCCAACATCAGTATCTGACTTTACAAATGCAAAGGAGAGTGGAGGCTATTATATCTGCAAGGAGTAGGGGGACTCCGTATTAATACCCATGGATTTGGAATGGGATTTCCAACAAGCTAATATAGGAGTGATGATCTGGTATACAACACACATTTTGTCAAATACTGTATCAGTTTCTGGTGGCCTTAAATATTTGCAGGCCAACATTTATGTTCTACTGCTCACCTTTATCATTGCAGTAAAAGATATTCCATTTAATGGCAGGTCCCCCTGTTCCACCTGAAGATGTTTCTGTGCATCCTGGGCCTACACCAATTACGCTGCTAGTTACATGGAGACCACCAGTGCTGTCACCAACAGGAACCTCCAATGGAGCAAATGTCACTGGATTTTCTGTGTATGCAAAGGGACAAAAGGTAGGTTACTTTGTAAAAAAAAAGTGAAATCTTAATTAATAATTACAGTTTTGCTTTTAAGTGTTACGAGTTTGCATGTATTGGCAGGACAGAGCAGAGCTGATAAAATTAAATAGCGAGTGTAGTGGTTTATTTCTAACCTTTGCCTTTGTTCAGTGTACATAAGGAGCTAATATAAATAAAAACTGCTGCTAACAGGGAAGTCCTTTAATTCAAAATGTATTTATTATTTCCAAAGTAAACCATATTTTTTACAAATAACACAGGGATTTTGACTTACACTTTAGCCATATGTGTGGCAATATAGATAGATGCAGACATGTGCTGCCCATCAATTGCTGCTTACATCCTTCTCAGCCAATCGGAATGTGAGGCATCCCTAGGAATATATATATTTTTTAAAATTCATACCACGAATGCAGTACACCTTAATCAAGTCCATTACAGATATATGAATCCAGTTTTATACTGTATACTTCAGTGATGCAATGATTCTGTGTTAAAAGGGTTGAGAAAGGCTTCTGTAGCTATAGAGACAGTCTATCCAACTAACTTTCCGTAGGAATGCTAAGTGGAGGAAGGGGGGGTTGCCTGCTATGATAATACAATTAGGCCTGGTTGATTGTAATAGGAGAAACACTGCTAGAAAAAGCCAATAACATGAGAAGGGGATGATATTTCAGCATATACTCTGTAAATAAACAGCGTACAGAACAACCAAAGGGTTGTCGAAAAGACATAACATAACTTGTTAAAATAAGCTCACTGCATATGAATATATTACAAACTCACCTCAAATAAATGCAATTGAAATTATATTGTTTTTGTATATCTAAAAATAATGCTATTACTGAGAATATTGATGTTATAAACATATAAGCAAATATAATGGGACATACAAAAGGGGGACTACCATTTTTATTCTCTTGGTGCTCGACTTTCTGAAAATCCACAGTTGTGGGGATCTCTGCCACATAAATAGAACACATGCATATACATTGAAATTCATTAATCAGACAAAACAATATATATTAGCCCTGTCAGTGTTTGGATTAATATTGCAAAGCTCAATTCACTAAGCAGTAACAATTGTTATTTGCAAAGACAACTGTTATTTCCATGAGCAAGAATAGCAGTCCCATGGCTGAAAATATGTATCATTATGGTAAATAACACATGCATTGTAGCTTAGTGAACTGGGCCAATGGTGTAATACAAAATTACCCTAGGGTCAGCAAATGATTCTTTTTGATGACCAAGGACAGTGCAATGCCAAAGACTTCAACTCAGAAGTGTCTCTGTAGCCTACTGCAAAGGCATTTCAATAAAAAGGCACATCACCTTTGATTTTGTTTTCACTGCTGATTACTAGAAAGGCTAGAATGCATTTACTGCTGATTACTCAAATGCATTTACAAAGTAAAAGCAGGTTCTCGGTTTGCTGCACAACACTGGGATCTTGTTCCATATTAGAGAGATTCTTTTTTTAATCTGAGCACGTTATTTTAGTTTTTACTGAACTCTGCTGTACAACCAACTGTACTTTTCTTGATGGCATATGGCTTTCAAAAGTGGAAATCAGTTAATGTTTTAAAATGTACATTTAAAGTGTATTTCATTAATTGTATGGTTTTCTTGTACATGGATCTATTTTCCACAAATAGTGGGAAGAAGTTGATATCAGATACAATAGTAGGTAGTCATACACATTTTACTGTTTCTCAGTCCACTTCTTTGTTTTTTATGTATAAACACAGGTGGCAGAGGTGGTGTTCCCTGCTGCAGAGAACATTGTGGTGGATCTCATCAAAGTACTTAATCTAGATGCCAAGGAAGTTACAGTGAGAACCTTGTCAGCACAAGGGGAATCTGATGACTCCCATATTGCTTATATTCCACCTGAATTACTGGTGCCTCCAACACTTCAACAACACACAAGGACTATGCCCAAATGCAAGCCATTATCAAGTGCTGGTGTACCAGATACCAAAGATGAACATATATGTCCTCATGGGAAAATGGATGAGTCTTGGGAACATCATCATTCAGTATCCCCAGTGCATGTGCATTCCTTGGAACCTCCAACATCAAATTTTCACACTTCAGGTCATGGTAGAAGGTCACCTTCCCCACAAAGAATTCTACCACAGCCACAAGGTGCACCCATATCAAATACAATGGCCAAAGCAATGGCAAGAGAAGCAGCACAAAGAGTTGCAGAGAGCAACAGGGTAATGTATGCAGAATTCTATGTATGTATTTCAAAGACATTTCGGTGTCTTATATTAATGAGAGTTAAAACACAAATTAAAGAATGGTTCTAACTGCCTTAACATTTGTAATATACAGCACATACTTTTGTGATCCACCCTTATCTGTTGTGAGCATAAAAGGGGGTGACCAAACTTCTGAGACTGCTTTTCACTGCCTCCTCTTCAGTCAGGATTCTATTAAAATATCAATTTCTCATTTGCAGAATGGTCACACCTGTGCTTCCTCAGAATCTGTGTTACAGTCTGAAAATAAGTATCTGTATTCCTTTTCTGAATGAACATGTAACTACTTATTAGGATGTGAATTTGTAATGCACATAGGTGCAGCTACGGTACCATACCAGACATTTAAAAGATCTCTTATACACAGGTTTTATGTAGTCCTTTCCTTTTTTGTTTCGGTAGATAAGAACAGTAGGGCCAAACTAATCAGGTGTTATGATTACAGAATGTTTTACACTAATGGTGCTTAGTAAAAACAGGCAAATATTAAACTTTGTTTTTCAGCAAATAACAATTTGCAATCACAAATGCCTAAAGGTCACAAATAATTTGTGAACCCACTCTGTGTGCAGCTGGATAAACTCTCTAAGGTCCTGTGTTCAAAACCATTTGTTTGCATCAAAACTGCTTTATTTTCATACAAGTCAAGAGGAATGAAAAAGCAGCTTAACTACTTGCATCCCCAGATATTTTTCTCCCTAAATCCCTTTGAGTCAAGGGTGCTTTTTTGAAATTTTTTGGCTCTGCTGTCTTGGTTCCACACGTTACGGTTTTAATGTTTGTAGTCTACCTTAAGTATCCTAATTTTTAGTAAATTAGGCTACATATATTTTTATTTACCTGTTTTTTTATTGGGAATAAATTATAAAATTAGATTTTGCCAATGCAATGTTTACATAATTTGCTCACCGTCATATATTTCCCATAAATTACATTCAACATAGTCTGCTGATTACAATGAAATCACATTAGAGTGACTTTTATATAATGTAGTGGAATGGTAAACATTAGTTTAAGTTTTAAGTGGGTCATACACTGTGTGTGTGTGTGTATGTGTATATATATATA